GATTTGGCTAAATTAAGTAAACAATGTAAAGAAGGAACAATATTAATTCACTTTTGAGGGAAGGTCAAAAATTGTTATAAATATTCATGAAATTTTCATAACCTATTTTGCATGAAAAGGTAAGAGTGGTAATTAAAGCTCATGTTTTCATTAGATGCAGTAAGAGGGAAGTAGCTGCCTTTTATTTAAGAAGATACACACATTCATTCCTCTGAATCTTAGATTATCAGTGGGATTGTTGGATGGAATAGCAAACTTGCTGAGGCAAGGTTAGGGTGTGGGAGAGGAAGGCCGACTTTAACCTTGTTAAGGATGTGGATGGGGTTATGAATGCTGACTCTGCTTCCTCCTGCCTAGATGTTCTGAGGCATGAAGAATGTGGTGATGATGGTGGCAGTGGATGGAAGTAGAATATGGGGGCAGCAGCCAACTTGGAAATTTACTTCTTGGAGTTTTAGGATTTAAAGACACCAATATACATGCACACTGAACCTCAGTCTGATCAATGTAACAAATCAATTCATCCAATTTAGTAGTGTTTCTTATTATATTTGAAAATTATACACTTGGTTAACTTAAAGAAATCACCCAAGGATTTAAAAACAATGGACTTGGGACATCTAGTTAACCATTTATTTATTTTTTAAAGATTTTATTTATTTATTTGACAGAGAGAGAGACACAGCGAGAGAGGGAACACAAGCAGGGGGAGTGGGAGAGGGAGAAGGAGGCTACCCGCTGAGCAGGGAGCCCGATGTGGGGCTCGGTCCCAGGACCCTGGGATCATGACCTGAGCCGAAGGTAGACGCTAAACGACTGAGCCACCCAGGCCCCCCTATAGTTAACCATTTAAAGAGATAAAATAAAGGAAGAATTCTACCTTATGTCATATACCAGAATAAAGTCCAAATGAAGTGAAGTGCAAGAAAATGGGAGAATTCTTTAATGATCTCAGAAAGGGAGGTCATGTTAAACTATAACACAAATCCATAAAATAAGCCATAAAAGAAAAAGAAAATGATGGCTTTTTCAGCAAAAGAATGTCTGAATGATAAAAAAAAAAATTAGAATTAAAAAACAAAGAAAAAAGGCAAAAGCAAAAGACAACAGCAAAAAGATATTGGCACAATTAATGTTACAGAAAATGGACTAAATAGAAATCAATAAGAAAATGACAGAAAAAATAAGCAAGAAATATGAGGAGATAGATCATAAAAAATAAAATGAAAATATTTTCAAACTCATTCAGTTTAAGGGAAATGTATATTAAAACTGCTAAGAAATATACTGTTTTTGCCTATCACACAGGCAGAATTCCAAAAGCTTGAACATATTTTCTAGACAAGCCTGTGGAGAAAAGTCATTCTCATAAATTGCTGGTAGGAGTTTGAATAGGCACAACTTTTGTAGGGGACAATTTGGCAGTGCCTGTCAAAATTGCAAATGGTGAACACTTTTGACCGTTCATTCCTTACCTAAGAAAGCATGCGACAGAAAGGCTTGCACACATACAAAATGATGGCTACATACAAGGTATATCAGCAGTATTAGGTATCAACAATAGTTAGACTACCTAAATATTTATCAATAGAAAACTGGCTAATACATATAACACGTTTCATTCAATAAATACTGTGCAGCTGCAAAAAAGAATGAGACAACTTTTTATATACTAATGTAAGAAAATTCCTAGGATAGATTAAGTGAAAATGAAAAGGTCCATAAAAATGTGCATTGTATTTCACCATTAGGGTAAAAAATTAAATGAGGAGAAATAAAGAATACATATATTTGCATATATAGAGTATTGCATATATTGCCATCTATATGCATATGTAAAATGCATATATATTGCATTTATAAATTGCATATATAAAGTATATATGTACATATAAAGTATATATACACAAATACATACACATATACATGTATAAAGTATATATGGCTTGCATGTGCCTAATTTTTTTTTTTTCTGGAAGGAGAAACAGGCCATTAATAACAGTGATTAGCTATAGGGAATATATAGAAGATTAGCATATTGGAAACAGGGATGGGAGGAAGATTCATTACTATATCCAAAAAGTTAAATAGTCACTTTGACCCATTTATAATTAAATTTGTCTTCTGAAGCTGGAATAATAATATATAAAATATTTAAATATTTGGTTTTAATCATTTTCATTGGCTCTCTGAAAGTACTCAGTATATCACTAAAACCCACCAAAAGCAGCACATAGAATGAATAAGTAGGGAGAAAGGATGTGATTCCTTTTCCTTTTATTCTTCTTTCTGTGACTTACAGTGGATTTACATTTTCAAATGTTTGTTTCTGACTTATTGTTAAGAAATAATTGTTAAATGACTTTTTTCCTTTTAAGAAGAAAATTGAGACACACATCAAAGTGAAACCTCTAATATTAATTTTACTTGGCTTATTACCTAGAACCAACTGTTTATAAGGCACACTAAGTTTCCTTCAATAGTTTGTTAGCTCTTGGACAAATTTTATTTTATAAATAAAGGGTGTGTGGTGTGTGTATGTTGTGTGAAGAGAAAGAGAGAGGGAGGTGTTCTAGTTTCTCTCTTGTGTGTGTCTCATGACTGGTACCATTGTCCATCCACCTGCACAAGGAAAAAAAAACAAAAGCAAAAACAAAACCTAGAGATCATCCTTAGGGGAGTCTCCCTTTATCACCGCCCCTCCAATATCCAAGTGACAATATCCAAGAGAGACCACCACCATATTATCACTTGGAAATCCATCCTTCCTTCCCTCTCTTTACTTAAGGCCCTGGGTCTTTCATCTAGATTACTGTTAGTCTTACAGCCAGCCTCGCCTTCTAATCAAATTTTCGTGCAGCTGCCAAAATAATGTTTTTTATATAAGAAAAAGCAAAAAACAAAAAAAGTTAAAGACTCTCTCTTCTCATCCTCAGTGTGATTTGAGTTCTTAATAAATTTCTCGAATGTTAATTTGAGTTGGTAATCTCTGATTTACTAATTCACCAGACGCCCATTGCTTAAAAGGAAATAAAATACACAGTTACTTCGCACACACTCCCCTCCCTAAAAGTCTTAATGGAGTCTCTCAATAAGTAAATTGATAAAAAAAAAGTGTGCTGGTAGCATTAGTCCTAGATGGTATAAGCTAGGCTGGCATGATCATGATACTGCTGCATGGACTCCCCCGCCATGTTTCCTTGCACCTCCGAGTCTTGGCACCTGCTTCTCCTGGCTGTGTTGGCGCTCCTTCTTCCAGCCAAATCTCAGACCTGTCACTGCTCTACTGGAGATTCACAGCTCCTTACCCTGCACTTGTTTGGCTCCTGGCACCAAACACTATATGCTACCAGCACACTTTTTATCAATTTACTTATTGAGAGACTCCATTAAGACTTTTAGGGAGGGGAGTGTGTCTTTTAACTCTGTATTTCTTTTTTTTCTCCACCACCCCCAGCCTCGGGATGCAAGTTAACTCTGTATTTCTTTTATCTCCTTTATACATCACCTGCCACTGTAGCCAAGGCAGAGGTAGATATCATTACCTTTTTATTCAAGGAAAGAAGGAAGAAAGAGGGAGAAGGAAGGGAGAAGGAAGGAAGGAAGGAAAGAAGGAAGGAAGGAAGAAGAGAAAAAAGGAAAGGATGGAGAGAGGGAAGGGAGGAGGAGGAAGAAAAAGAAAAAATAATTTTTAATCATGAGCAAAATTTGACCAACTGTGAGAACTTAAAATTTGTTGAAGAAATAATGAACAAATTATGAAATAAAGTCAGTGATGAATGCACAACCTATCATTTTTCAATTGCAATAAGTTTGATGCCCACCACCACCCCCATGTGAAGCAACCAAGTGTTGTTCAGTGCAGGAAGCAGTGCCTTAGGGCCATAATGGAGATGGGAGTGAGCAACCTACAGGGGAAATGGCAGCTCCTGCCCCCTTAATGCCTCACTGTTGAGCAGTCTGTTGCAGCTGTGCTAAAATGCATCTTAGGAGAGAAGTGGGACACATTTAGCTTTCAGTTTCTAAGGGGACCAAACAATAAAACATCACAAACTTGAAAGTTTACACATAAGTCTTAATTAATTGCATTGAACTGTTCATTTCACTATGTCTGAGCTATTCTGAAGGGGGAAAAAATGCTGCAATTTTTTTTGACAAAAGGGTACTGGCAGGAACTTCCATAAAATTGGAGGAGGGCCAGAGGGGAGGGAGAACTAGATAGAAAAAAATGTACCTCTCCCCCTGAATCTCTCACAGCCTCTTAAGAGGTGTCTTCCAAGCTCAGTTTAGACAGAATCAGTGCATATGGCCCATGCCACAAGCAGAGTAAAAAGGGTCAAGTGGACCTGGATTTGAATGCTAGTTGCACCTCTGGGTCATGGATGCTTAACCTCACTGATCCTCAGGTTCCTTATTCATGAAATGAGGATAATAATTTTCCCTTGGGGGATTAAAGGTGGAGGGTATAAACTTCCTATTTAAGTGCTGTTCATGTAGCAGGCACTTGAAAATGGCAGCTAAAATGATTATTTCCTCACCTTTGCCTTTACCTTCAGACTTACCTAACTCGGTGCCCACTGTCTTCCCTTTACTTATCCAGAATTTACTTTTCCTCCAAAGCATAACTCAAGATTCATTTTCTCCATTCAAAAACCACTCAAAGAATGTGTATTATTTCTAAATGTGATATTCCCTGTTTCCAATATTATTGATGGCCATTAGGATATGGTGCATTTTATTACTTAATTGTTCATGTTCTGAGAACATGTCCTTTCGCATCCAGAAAGGGGTGTGTATATCACCTGACCTAGAATTTGGTTCTGGAATCTGTGGGCAAAGCATGTTATTCCTTTACAAATCCAGCAGGGCTCTGGTCCTGGAGAGAGAGAATCATTCCTTACCTTTAGGATAGAGAGACCTGGCCTAGCTTGCAGAATATTCTAGTATGCAAGGCTGTCCTTGGGCACAGATGCCATCCAGTCTTCCTCTCCCCTTCACAGATGACAGCAAACCTCGGCTCAGCAGCAGCCCACCCTCGGCCACCCTGGGCAGTCTGCTGGATGACCAGCATTGGCACTCGGTCCTCATTGAGCGGGTCGGCAAGCAGGTGAACTTCTCTGTGGACAAGCACACACAGCACTTCCGCACCAAGGGCGAGGCGGATGCCTTAGACATCGACTATGAGGTGAGTTGACTCTCCCTGCAGGTCTCCAGGTCCCTTGCTCAACATTAGTAAAAAAAAAAAAAAAAAAAAAAAAAAATCAGCAAACAAAAGAGCAATTGAGAGGAGATGGGGGACCCTGACAAGTCTTACCATGGGCTCATCTCCTCTGTCTAAGCCCAGGCAGCCTTCAGTGGAAAAGTCCAAGGAGGGCATCTGAGCAGTGTTTGTGGGGGGGAAGTGTCTTGGTAACAATGGGACGTTAGCAAATTGTGTGCATGTTAAAATCAAGAAATCTCCTTTTTCACTTTAAAATTTTTTGTCCTGCCTGTAGCCTTCCCGTATCACTGTGTAGTCTTGTAGTTACCCTCAGTTGTTCTTTTTGCAAAAATCAATTTCAATTAGCTGAGAAAATACAGAAATTATACTAACATAATATTATAAGTCAGGTATACCTGAAGAAAAAAAGAGAGATAAACAAAATCCAAAGGAATCTAAAATCCACACTAGTGGCATTTGTGTTTAACCTTCATTCCTATGCAAACTTTTGACAATATATGCAGTCATTTATTTCTTGCTTTCTTGTCCGAGAGCAAGAAATACACAGAGTCTACAACACAAAGAAGATATCACAGAGTTCGGCAAACTGGCAGACAAAAGTTACCCATCTTTGCGAGTAGTTCAGTTCAACAAGTGTGCCTCTGCTGTATACCAGACTTTTCTAAGCAATAAATATACAGAGATCACTGAGGCAGGGTCCTTTTGTTGGAGAAGCTTACAGAACTTTTTTGCAGGACTGTGGCATGGCCAGTTTTATGTTTTAGACTAATAATTCTGAATGTCTGTCACAGGAGTCAGCCCACTTAGCATCCCTTGGGGAATTTGTTAAAAATGAAAATACTCAGTTCCCACCCAGATCTGCTGAATCAGAAACTCTGGGAAAAGAGCTAAAAAATTTGTTTTAGAAATCCTCCAGGTGACACCCTACCATTTCAAAAGTACTATTTTGAGCAGTAAGTATAAGTCTGTAGCTTAGACTTGTGGGGAGGTGGAGGCAGGGGATTGATGTACAGATGGTAGGAAACTCTGTTAGGTGACAATTCTAGTCACCAGTGTGGTACACACTAAAACATGGAGGTGGAGATGAATAATTGAAAAATTAGGGTCTGACTTACATTTATCAATCACCATCATGAGCTATAAGAAAGATTTCTTCTTTTGATCCTAACTTTAGCTTAGCATACTGTTGATAAGATATACCATTCATTAACTTCGAGAAATAATTTGTCACTCAGACTCAGAAAGATACCAGGTAGATTTTTTTTTTGATTTGCTGATAACTGGAAATCTATGAGTATCAATCATCTTTCTTTATCAAGTTTAAGCGATTGAAAGTGATTTAAGTGATTGAAAAAAGAAAAAAAATTAAAGAATACACGTGACATTAAAAGAGGTATCTTTTATAAACTTGAGGACAACAGAAAACATAAAATCATCTGTAACTCTACCCGCCTAAGAGATGGTTCTAAAATTCTCCCAGTTGCCTGATTTAACCTTTATTTTCAAGCCTATGTCTACCTATCTCTCCTGTGTAGAGAATGTTTATGGGATCACAGCTGAGTGGCATTAAATTGAATGTCAGCATTTGAGGGAAATGAAATCCAGTGATGTCACTCAGTTTATGAAATTGGAACAGATTTCTTCAGGAAATGCCTGAATTTCACATTGTGTTATAAAAAGTATCACCTAGGAAAGAAACATCTTGGAGAATTCCTTTGAAGTAACCTCTGTTTCAGAGAATTCACGCCCCTGCCAGAGTGCCCAGCCAGCTTGCCCCAATGATCATATAAGAAGACAGAGTGACTCTAATGGTGACATTCAAATTGACTGTACTAGAACATGAGAATTATGTGTTGAGAGGTTTCTGGGACAACTAGAGCTCTCCAGTCGTTGCAGATTCACCTTAAAGACTATGTGTGAAAAGAAAGAACTGTAGAATAGGAGTCCTAATTTCCACTTTACCACTAACTAGTTGTATAAACCCAGGAAATGAAAACTCTTAACTTCATTTATCCAGAAGCAATAATTACACCCTATTAGCAGGAATAAAGATAAACAGAATATCTAAGTCTATAGAATATTTTGTAACAATATTGTCTATTAATGAGAATCTAGGTTATTAATTTGATTTCTGCCATGGGATCATATATGCCCATATGTGCCCTGGATACCACCAGCTAGCAGGATAACCAAAATCAGGTCCTTGGGTTCCTATGACCCACTGTCAGAGCCCTGCTGCTTTAAAGCTATGCCCTTTCAAATTTTATACCAAGGTTGATTATATTATGAAAATCTATGTTCCTCTTAAAATTTTAACATTATGAACTAATAATTGGCAAAAAAATATGGTAGCTTTCATTTTCGACTACCTTAAGGATATCAATGAATGATATCATGCCTTTCTATGAGGCCCCCTGAGGACTTTCGTTACACTAAGATGTATTAAGTTGTTGTTTCTCTTCCCACCTAAGGACTGGGAATCTTCTGTCAAAAATAAATTAGATAGATAGATAGATAATGATAGATGATAGATAGATAGATAGATAGATAGATAGATAGATAGATAGATAGATGATAGATAGATAGAAGCAGAAAGAATGTAAATCCTTTGCTTCTCATTGGAATGTCATCCTAGTTCACATCACTCAGCCTATATGATTTTCTCCAAAGGCATGTGAGAAAGACTATAGCAGTTCACTTCACTTCCTGTCTGGAGCAGAAGGATTTTAGAAAAGAGATATTTTTAGGATTTTAATAAGGGCCCACTTCTCCGAGATTCATGTAATCCATTAATTCTTTTCCTATCAAAAGTGCTCAGTGATCCTGTTTACATAGCCATTTTACAAGCACCAGAACTATTAAAAACATTTTTTAAAATACATGATTTTCATATTACCACATCATAAATAATGAAAAGGCTTTTTACAAAATAAAATATACATATATATTTTAATAAAAATACTTAGTTAAAAAACTATATTAAACTAAACCCATACATATATCTTCAAATGTAAGTTTTATCAAAATTTTAAAGAAAATATGAGATAGTACTTTTTAATCAAGGATTGTGGGAGGTTCTTCTAAGTCTGACATAAATTTGAGAAACCTGGAAATAAAATATATGAAAATTCCATATAAAATTAAATTTTTTTTCCATATAACCTTCCGTAAAAATACATATATAGTGATATCACTACCCCAATAACTTAGAAAAGTATTTCAAAATTTAATTAATAAGTAAAAATCTCCTACAAATAATTCTTAATGTATACCTTAAAGGAAAAATAAAGAAAATGAATATGTAAGAAGTACAAACTGCTCTCAAATATATGAAACAATGTTCAACTGCACTCATTAAGAAAAGGAAGGCAAATTCATGCTACAATGATATTTTTCACTTAGATTGCAAAGACGAAAAATGCTATAATGTTGGCATGTGTATGGAGAAACCAGAGCTATTTCATCCATTGTTAGTGGGATAGTAATTAATATTATATCAAAGAAAAGGCGATGTCTTCAAAATTGTAAACACGTGGTCTTCAACCCAACAGTTCTGTTTCTAGCAGTTTATCCTATGGTCATAAGTAAATATGTGCAATAGGACATATGTTAGGAATAATAAAAGATTGGAAATTCCCCAGAAGTCCTTCAAAAGGGGGTTAATTAAGAATTATGCTAAGCTCCGTAGGGAAACGGCTCTGCCAGTGTGCCCTGGTGACCTCACACAGTTTATGTGGTCCACACAACCAGAGCTTTGCTCAATAGCTGATCTGAGTCTTGGCAGGATGCCTTATGATCTTCCTGAAACACCAGAGGTTGGAGGCCTGCAATTAGCAGCTTCAAGGCTGTTTCCCATTTCACTGCACCTGCCCCATGGGAGACTGTTATGACACAGTGTCTTGTTGCCTTCCAGGTTCTGATAAGACATGAAGCATTCTGTCCTGTGCTGTCAGAATAGAGCTGTGTCATCAAGAATTGCTTAGCTGAAGGACACTTCTCTTAGAACTCATGATTAAAGGCCTGGCCAGACATAATACAACTGCTTATTTAGTGATTGAAATAATTAGGGTAAGATCTATAGCAACAAGGAACCCCCCAACTTATATTGTGGTCATCTGCCCCCCCCCCTTTTAAGCATCATTTTTTGGTGTGTGGGACAGGTGGGCAGCAGTGTTTGGCTACTCTTGCCTTTGTTGACTCTGTAAGTCACAAACTATCTGAATCTACAAGTGGTGCCTTTACCTTTACAGATGGCTCAGGTCTTGGCTTTGGGTTCATCTTGTTTGGTGTGTGTGCTTGACAAAGCCAAACAAAAGTATTATGCAACCATTAGAAAGAATGAGGCAGCCCTATATATCCTGATGTGGAACCATTTCTAATATAAATTGTTAAAGGAAAAGAAAAATGAAGTGCACTGCAGTATAAGAGTGTCTGTGTTTAGGATTAGAAAGAAAACATGGACTTGACAGCAGACAGCATGTAGACAGAAATCTCTGGAAGTGACTGAAAGGACAGACAAGGCAGACAATAAGAGAAGGGGTTCAATGAAGAGGGAAACCTCACTTTTCACTGACTACTTTTTAAAAAACATTTTGAATTTTGTACCAAATGTAGAAGTATTTTAAGGAGAAACTGAGGCAATAGAAAGAATATATGACTTAAAAGATATTTCTTATATTTTCTGCTAAAATTACAACCTCTGATTTATATTTATTCAGTTTTTTTTCAAAAACACTTGTCACTTTAGAATGTTATTGAATTTACTTATTTTTAATTGTCTATCACCTCATCCCCACCCCAGTCATAGAATTCAAGCTCATCATAAGGGTTGATGTTTTCTTTTTTTACTTTCATTTATTTTTATAGAAATGTGTCTGGTACATAATGTGCAGTCCATAAAAACATGTTATGTAAATGAAGGAAGCTTCTTTCTGTAATTATAAAAGTAATGATTGATGCCCAAC